TGATCCCTGAGGGTCCCTTCCCATTCCACGGTTCTCAGCTTAGCGAGCATTTCTAAACCAGCTGGGTGTGTGGGGTGTCCTTCCCTTCGTTTGGGGAGTGCTGCAGTCCTTAGGGCAGCCGGCCCAGCCCAGCCCGGCCCAGCCCAGCCCGGCCCGGCCCAGCCCAGCCCAGCCCGGCCCAGCCCGGCCCAGCCCGGCCCAGCCCAGCCCGGCCCAGCCCGGCCCACATCCATCCCTCCCAGCTGTCCCGGCTCTCCAGCAGTGTTTTCTGGGCTCCCCGTGTGTTCTGGGAAGAGCCCGCTAGATGGGGATAGAAGATGTGGGATGTGCTCCAGGCTGGCAGAGCCACAAGTGCAGGTTCCCAGCCTCTGGCCCGGGGAGGGCGCTGATTTCGATCGCTCCGTGTTTGATCCAAAGCCATTCCTTCCCCAGCACTCGGATTTTGGGGAGCCCAGTGCAGGTGGGCCCTCACCCCGTGCTCTGGGCTGTTTTGCAGACATCCAGTCCGCCACGTGTGGTTCAATTCCCACAGCCTGATCACTGCCAACATCCCCGAGGAGAAGAACCCCCGAGGCTCCAGCATCAGCGAGGACGACCCCAGCTTGCACCGAAAGTGAGAAACCAGCCCTCAGCAATCTGTTTCGTTTTTAAATAGCACCCTGAGCACCTGAGTCATCACCCAGAGCACTTATAGAGAGGGTATAGCAGCAAAAAAAATAAAATTAAAAAAAAAATAAGGGTAAGGTTTATAAAGCAAGCGATGAATTGGCTTGAGTGCAAAAAAAAAAAGCTCTTTTTTTTTTCTCTCAGCAGGGGAACATAAATTCCACTGAAGCCAGGCAGGGAATGCAACCCTCTCCATGCTCGAAATATTAGTAATGCTGTCTCCTCCTAAAGGAAAACTACTGGCATTTAAGCTGCAGGTTTTGGTATTTGCATCTCAAATGGCTGTTAGTGCTAATTGAACTATCAAATACCAATGTATTTATCTTCCCCCGTGCTGGAGAGCCTGGAGACGTTTCAGCAGATGACAGTCACGTCTCTGCAGGGCTGGAGGGAATGATTCACCAGCCCTTCCCAGCTTGCTGGGTCCCTGGGAGGAGGCAGGAGGGAGCTTTCCCTGTTCAAAGTGCTCAGCCTCCCGCAGAAGGGATGGGGGTTTTTATCCAGCTCCTGCAGCATCGCTTTCTTCAGTTCAGATGATTTTTGTAGTGATTTCTACCTCTGTTTGCTTTCCCCCTGGGGTGAAGTGGTGTGTCCTGGTTGTTTTCCACACAGGTACCGTGGGGTGATTTATTCCTACGAGTTCTCTGTGGACCAGCTGGCTGTGGACAGCGTCCTCCCCATCTGCCGCTCCTCCTACGACGAGGTGACGGGTTACAACTACAACATCGGCCTGGCAGTGCCCTACGACAGCATCTAGGGCACTCCTCGGCTTCTAGGGCCAGCCAGGGCCACAGGCAAAGGAAAATCCATGTGGGACAAGCAGCCAAAAGCTGCAGAAAGCCCGGGGATGTGAACCCAAATAGGGCGGGGCTGCCCCCGAGCACCCCGCTGGAATGTGTCGCTCTGGATGTGTCCAGAGGTGCAGCCTGCTGGAGTGGAGAGGCTGAGGAGGGACAGGGAGAGCTGCAGGGTAAATAAAAATATTCCTGCTGCTTGTGGGAAAGATGCTGCAGGTCCCATCTTGGTCAGGAAGCCAGAGTGGGAGACTGAAGGGGCAGGAGGATGGGAGCTCTCTGAGGAGTTCTTCCCTACCCCAAGAGGGAAAAAAATCACCAAGGACTTGGAAAAAGCTGAGCCACGTGTTTGAAATGTCTGTCCTGGTATTGAGCTGCTCCTTCTTGTTTTCCTTGGAGTGCATTGGAATGTGGCTGGGAACAGGACAACAGGACCATGCACAAAAGGTTATGGTGGCTGGGAGAGGGAGGGGAAGGTTCCCTAGGCCAGGCTGGATGCTTGGGAACTCAGCAGGCCACACACACATCACAATTATTTTAGATCAAATTATTTTTTTAATTCTTTTAAATCCTGGATTAAATGTTTTCTAATTGTACATGTACATCTGTCTGTGGAATTCTGTTCCTGAGCCTTTTAGGGTGAGCTGACCCCTGTTCACTGGATCAAAGGGCTGGCTCAGGTTGTCAGGTGTGTTCTTGGCTGGATCATGTCCTTCCACAGCACCTGCAGGGTTTTCAGTGCTGCTCTTGCTTCCAAGCTGGGAATTGATGATGGAACAGAAGGGGTGACGTGGCCACAGTGGGTATTCAGCCCCAAAGCTGTGGGGAGGCACCAGGTGAAGGTCAGGAGGTGTTGTTCAGGTGGGAAGGAGGAGTGAGGCTTTACCTGAAGCCCTGACAGGTAAAACCAGTTTGGGGAACAAGAGCTCCAGTCCTGCATGGATCTTCTTACTGATTTAAAATGATTTTATTGTGATTTGCCCGTGTAAACTTACTGGTGCAAACCAAAGCTGTGTCAGTTCTGTTTAAAGTGAGGTTAAGTTTTAACCTACATCTCTTTTCCTGGGTGAATGGAATCAGTGTGAAGTCCTGGGGAGAGCTGCAGGAATGTGCCCAAACCTGCAGGAGAGGGGCTGGGCTGGCACTGCAGCCCTGTGCGGTCACTGAGCCCTGCCCAGAGCTGGATTTCACTGCCTTTCCTCCTTTGCCTTGGGGGGGAGGTTTCCCATCACCCATACACCAAAATTTCACGTTTTAGGTTTTTAATTACCTTTTTTTCCATGTGATGGATACACAAAAAGTGCAAAGGGCAAAAAGGCATTCTGTCTGACCAATAAATTTGATCTTTCATAAAGCTTTGGTCTTTTATTTCTCTGCCCTTCTGGGAAGCCAGCTCCCTCCCTCCATTCCTGGAAGAGCAGGAAGTGCCGTGGATGCACGGTTTGGACAAGAGTTCAGCTGAAACCTGACAAATAAATCATGGTTTCTGTAGCAGAAATGACTTCGGGGGGTTGCTCCAACCCTGTGACTTGTGCGATGCTCTGAGCAGGGAGCGCTCCCGTGTCATTGTTCTCCCTTCTCCTCCTCTCGCCTCATTATCTGGGAACAGCTTTGTTCCTCCTTCCTCTCCCTGCTGCAGGGAGCAGAGTTTGTGGTGCCCACGCCCGTCCTTTTCCCGAGTCCTCCCCCGCGTTCCTGCTTCTCCCTCTGTGCCGAGGCTGCTGCCGGGGAGGGTTTGCAGCACCTGCATGAGCCGGGGTTCTGTGCTCACCTGGCTCACAGCCACAGCTCCTCTGCAGCCTGCTCCTTTGGGTCTTCTCCCTGCTAATTAATGGGATTAATTGAGCGAGGTCGCAGCACGGCAGAGGGTTGTGTGTGTGCTTAGCTCGCACTCCTCATGCGGATGAGGGCACTGGGGCTGTGTCCACATCGGGACTTTGGGATGTTCTGCTTCCCTGGGTGCTCCTCAGTGCTGGAGTGGAGCAAACACCAGCGAGGCTGCCGAGCTTTGGGCTCAGGGGGTGATGAAATGGAGCCTCTTCCTTCATTTGGAGAGCAGGAGCAGCGTCCCCATCCCAGCTGTGCCGGGAGAGGCACCGTGCAGCTCCCCAGGGGTGGGCACTGGGAGGGGGCAAATCTGCCTTGGCTGGGCTCAGGAGTGCAGGAGCTGCAGTCAGGACATGCTGGAGCCTGAGCTGGTGGGGTCAGGCTGGAGGCCAGGCTCACCCTGCTGCCACTTGCCCGAGGCCAGGCTCACCCTGCTGCCACTTGCCCGGGGCTCAGGGCCAGCTGCAGAACCCACGGGCAGCACAGCAGGAAAGGGTTTGGCACAAAAAGCCTTGAGAGTTCCGGTGTCCCGTGTTGGTGGCAGCGACCCTCAGCTGAAAACAGGGGGCTGTGTGCTGGTGAGAGGGACCCCTGCTCCAAAGGGAATGTGGGAGCCCTGCTCCAAAGGGAACTTGGATCCCTGCTCCAAAGGGAATTTGGATCCCTGCTCCAAAGGGAACTTGGATCCCTGCTCCAAAGGGAATGTGGGATCCCTGCTCCAAAGGGAATGTGGGATCCCTGCTCCAAAAGGAATTTGGATCCCTGCTCCAAAGGAAACGTGGGATCCCTGCTCCAAAGGGAATGTGGGATCCCTGCTCCAAAGGGAATTTGGATCCCTGCTCCAAAGGGAACTTGGGACCCCTGCTCCAAAGGGAATTTGGGATCAGCACAGACTGTGTGAGTGTCACAGCTCTGGGGTGCCAGGCACAGCCATCCTGGAGGGCAGGACAAGGCTGCAGAGCCCTGCTGGAGAATCCCCACTGCCCCCCTCTGCTCCAGGGCCGAGCCTCCAGAAGAAATTGCTGTTTGCCTCTGGTTTGTGTCCTCAGTCACCTTCTCTGTGAGGGAAGAGCCGCCCCAGGGTGTCAGGGGCTGCTATCCCTCTCCTGCTCTGAGGAGTGAGGGGTGGGAGGAGGAGCAGGGGTTGTTTTCTGTACAGAGAGGTGCTCTGGGGGTCTCTGAACCCCCTTTCTGTCCCACCTTTCCCACCCAGCTCTGCTCTCCTGCCTGCCACCTCTGTCACTCTGTCACTCAGAGGGGTGAGCGTGGGCGCACTGAAGTGGTGCAGGAACTTGTTCTTGTCCTCTCTGGCCCCTCTTCTCCTCCAGTGACCTTTGTCTGCTCATTTCCACCTTCTGTGGAAGGTCCTGAAACTCCAGGTACATGGAGCTGGTGTCCCCCAGCCCCTGCAGTCGGAGGGGAGGGTGGGGCAGCCCTGGCTGGAGGGCCTGTAAGGAGATGAAGTACTGCTGGATCATGCAGTAGAAACCTGGGGGAAAGGGCCTGCTCCAGGTCAGGATTTGTGCCACTGGCAGATTTTTATCCAGAAATGTGGACCTCCAGCCTCTGGGCCAAATTCCTCTTCATGCAAGAGCTGCAGCTGGGAGTTTCCTCTGCCTCAGACAATGCCACTCAAAGGAATGAGGAACTCTTCAAAATTTAGCTTAGAAATATCAGCTGCAAGTGGCTGCCCTGGCTGTGGGGTCTGTGCTGCCTCCTGCTCCCCTTCCCTCCCTTCCTGGGCAGGTGTCCCTTGTTTGGTCTCTCCTGCCATTCCCAAGCTCCAGTGTGGCTGATGGATGAGGGGGAATGGTGGGGAGAGGGATCAAAGAGTGTCCCCTCTGTGCCAACACCACCTGCCCAGGGTCCCTGCAGTGCTGGGGTCACTCAGTCCCTCTCCAGCCCTGGGGTCACTCAGTCCCTCTCCAGCCCTGGGGTCACTCAGTCCCTCTCTCCAGCCCTGAGGTCACTCTGTCCCTCTCCAGCCCTGGGGTCACTCAGTCCCTCTCTCCAGCCCTGGGGTCACTCAGTCCCTCTCTAATTCTGGGGTCACTCAGTCTCCCTCCAGCCCTGGGGTCACTCTGTCCCTCTCCAGTCCCAGGAGCTCTCTCTGGTGCTGCTCAGCCTTTATCAGCCTCCCTGGAGTTTTGCAATATGTGCTAAATGGTTCCATTTTCCAGCCACCCTCTGCTGAGCAGTGCTGGGATCTGCCACAGGGCTTTGTCCCAGGGCTGTGTCCTGGCCCCACAACAGAGACATTATCCAGAGCCATTATCCCTGCTGGAACACTGGGCTTTGCAGGATTTCTCTGTGGTGGAAGTGTTGCCCTTGCCAGGTTTCCCGGGGCTCTGCCAGATTTTCCTGTGATTTTCAGGATTATTATCCTGGTTTTGCTGGGGTTTGCTGTGTGTAACATCAGCACCGTGTTGTGCTGGAGTGATGCTCCTGCCCATCCCTGGAGCTCTGCACCTCTGTCCCTTTGCTGGGATGAGGATCAGGCTCAAACCCTCCCTCCTGTTCTCCACTCATCCCATTTCCCACGGAGAATTCCCAGCAGGAGCAAAAGGAAAACGCTGCAGCCAGTTTGTGTTGGGTCCTGCCTCAGTTTCCTGGCCTCCCACACTTTGACTGCCACTTAGGGGGCAGCTAATTAACTCAGGGGATAATAACTGAGCTCTCATCCATCCTCTCCACTCCTCCTGGCCTCCACTTCCCTGCCCCAGCCCGTGCTGGTGTGGATCCTCTGGGATGATTCCTCCAGGAGGTTGGGGTGTGGAGGGGGACCCTGATCTCGTGTTAACCCCTGCAGCTCCAGCTGGGGGTTTGGGGGCAGAAAAGGACCCTGCAGGCACCCGGGGCTGTGACTGGAGCACGCACTGGGGAGTGGGATGGTCCTGCAGCCTCTGTGTGGAAGCAGAGCCGGGATCTCCATCCCCAGCTCCCCTCCCAAACCCAAAACCAGCCCCAGAGGCTCGGGCAGCTCTGGTCCATTCCCAGCTCTGTCCCCACAGCTCTGGTTCATTCCCAGCTCTGTCCCCACAGCTCTGGTCCATTCCCAGCTCAGAGATGGGATGGTTCCATCCCGTGGGTTCCTGAGGCTGGGATTGCAGGGCAGGGCTCTCCTCCCCTCCTTCCCCGGCTCCGGGAGCCGCTCCAGGCTGAGCTCCAGCGGCTCCGAACGGACACGGGGACTTTGGAGGGGACGGAGCCCTGAATGAGCCCTCGCTGTGGGGTCCCTGAGCAGAGCCCCCCAGTAACGTGGAAAAGAAGGAGAAAGTGTTCCCGAGCCAGGGATGCTCTGGGAAGGGGGGGGCACAGCAGGGCCGGGGGCTCCGCACCCCCCCAGCCCCTCACCTGCCAGCTCTGCCTCCCATCGCCTGCTCCTGACACCAGGGAAAGCCATTTTTTGGTAAATAAATCTTCCCTGCTTTTCTAAAAATAGCCATTGCCCTTTTTCCTCTCCCTCCCTCCCTCCCCAGCTCAGGCTGCCTTAGAGACAGAAACCCGCCTGGAGCCACCCCGTTATTAACACCAGTAAACAACTCCCCGTGTCGGGAACATGTGGGGGCAGGAGCCCCCTGGTGCCGGGAGCCCTCGGCCCCGGTCCCTCCTGCTCCGGGCTGCTCCTGCCAGCCACAGCCGGGGGAGCCGCTGCGGGGTTAAACTGGGAACATTCCTCGTGTCGCTGGCACCGCCTTCCCTGTGGGATGCAGAGTGGGATGTGGTTGTTGTTGCAGGTGCTGAGGGTGCTGCCGTCACCTCCTGCCCTTCAGCATCCCCATCCCTGCCTCTCCCCACGGCCCGGGATCAGCCCGAGCCCGCCAGCTCCTTCCCCTCGTAAATCCAGATTTATGGGGAAATCGGGATTTGTGGAAGCTTTCTGCTCAGGGAAACGCTCCACCGTGGAGTGATGGATGGACAGAGTGTTTCTCAGCGAGGACTAAAAAGAGAAATATCTTTTATTACAGATAAAAGCCTCTGATGTTTCTAGAGAGCAGAGGGCAGCCCCGGCGTGGAACAGCGGAGCAGAGCCGTGGGGCTGGGAGCCAGGTGCCAGGACATGGAGCTGCTGCTGGCTCCTCTTCCTCTTCTTCATCCTCCTCTTCATCCTCCTCGTCCTCCTCTTGCTCCTCGTCCTGCTGCTGCTCCTCCTCAGTAGCAGTGAGCGATGGTGTCCACGTTGAGGAAGCGGACGTGCATCTTGGTCTCGATGTCGATGCCCTGCCACATCTGCCAGGGGATGGGGCTGAGCGGGGCCAGGGGCCTCCCCCCGGTCCCTGTGTCCCCTCCCTGTCCCTGTGTGCTCCTGTCCCTGTGCCCCCCCCCGTCTCTGTGTCCCCCCTGTCCCTGTGTCCCTCTCCTGTCCCTGTGCCCCCCCCCATCCCTGTGTCCCCCTGTCCCTGTGCCCCCCCCCCCCCCCTCGCGCCCCC